TTGGCCTCGGACACCATGGCCAGCGAGATCGCGGATCTCAACAGCCGCGAGGCGCAGAGCGTGTGCGAGGCTCTGGGGCGCTACGAAGACACGCTGCGCGGCGCTGTCAGGGAAATCCACATGGACATCCAGGTGTTCAAGCAAGGGGTGGGCCGGCAGGTCGAGGAGGTGCTGCGTCTCGCCAGTCCGCTGGCGCGCACCGTCTCCGAGCTGCAGGAGGAGAACTGCCGCCTGCGGGCGCAACTGGAGCGCTTGGCCCGGCAGGTGGAGGCCCTCGGCCGCTCGTCGGGGCTTCTGCAGGAGCAGGTGCTAGAGGCAACGGGGAGCCCCCCGGCCACGGGGCCTGGCTTGCCGGGGCCCGAGCTGGCCAGCAGCAGGTTCTCCAGCCATGCAAAGCTAGCAGTGACTGGCCGCAGTCAGGTAAGTGCTGGCCATGGTTAGGGAGGTGAGGGCCAGAGGATGTCTGAGCGCTTGGGGGTGAAGTCGTTTTGGGACATCGGGCTTGCCTTGCATGACAGAGGATTGCTGCTCTGACTGATGCTTTTGCCCCTGATACCTGAGAAGTCCTGATCATGGCCTACTTGGTCAAACTGGGGTCTTGGTTAGAACTACAGCAACTGTTGGTTCAGTTTGGTGAGAAGTAAGAAAAGAAGTTGGGACAATCTCAGTATGTGTGAGTGTGCATATATATGTATCTTTTCTGGACTGGATTGAGGTTGATCTGTGTGGCAGCAGTGCGATTTGCCAGTTGGCACATGAACAAAAGACTGCAGCATAGTTTATAGCAAGGGGTAACACGCTTCCCTGAGGTAGTGACTTGGCATCCTGCAGTGTGAATTTTGCTGTGCAGCCCCTATGCTGCACTGCTGCAGCTGGTCTGAGAACTGAACTCCACACAAACTGTCATGGTCTGTATGGCCTAAACTAGCAGGAAGGGACACACATTCCTCCCTGTAGTAAAATCGCTTCTGCAGCATTGTGAAGGCTTATAACCTAGTTTGTGGAAAACCCTGCTAGCAGGAAACTCAAGTGACATTGAAACTTTGTGTGTAATGCTTTTCCTAGATGTTTGGCTCTCTGGAAAGGGCTGAGAGTTTGGGTACATTACCTAACACCAAGAGGTAGCAGCCAAAATGCACAGTGATTCAGTTGCACAAAACGCTATGTTAGAGCCAGGTTGCAACCTATGAAAATCTTGTCTTAACCAAGTTAAATGGCTGGGAATGAACAGAGTCTGTATTGCATACCAGCTCTTTTCCTCCTCACTGACTGAATAATGGGACACAGATCTTGCCATGGCTGGTAAAGTGTAATGCTGTTGCAAGATGCAGTGTTTCTAACATAGAGCAAGTTCTGGCTTTTTTCCCCAAAAGACAAAGCTGAGCAGCGTGCGTGTTTCAGTTCTCTCTCTCCAAGAAAGGTGTTTTTTTTTTTTTTTTTTTTTGCCCCATGGAGCTGTCCATGCTTATTGGCATTGCAAGGAGCAGAAATGAACTGTGTGACAGATGAGGGACAAGGGGATTGTGATCTCCTCTCACACCATCTCACCTGTGTACTCTGTGCTCTGTGATCAGTCTTGCATAAGAGTTATGGCTATATGCAGCTCTGGGTTTTTGTCTGGGTTAAAGCTTAGACTGTGCTTTTGTTTGGATTGGAACCTTCCTACTTTGAGGGTTCAGAGTGAATCACTAATGTACTGATAGTTCTACAGTGCCCTCCCAACAATTTTCCCCTGGAGGGCATGACAAATTCAGAGTTAGCATAGCTGACCGGGAAAGAATCTTAGTACTCAGAATCATGGGAGATGCTCCCAACTACACAGATCAAATGCATGCAATAAAAACATGGTTGTACGGGTATGGCTGTGATATGTCTAAAGCAAGAGCCTAAACCTGTGTGCCAGTCACCCACATTCTCTGTTGAAAAAAGGTGTTCCCTCAGTGGCCTGCAATTTCTGCTTATATGGCTGAAGCACTCGAAATAGTACTGCGTATGTTTCCCCATGAATGGAAACAGGTGGTACTTCTGGCTTTAGTAAACACTTTGATAATTGAGTTACAGAAGGAAATACTGTTCTTGAAACAACAGCAAGCAAGATGTGCTTTTTTGCTCCTGAGAATGTTTATTAGTTGAGTTCTTTTTACTGTGTGGTCAATGCAGTGCTTGTACTAGCAAAGGTCTGGCTTCTGTGAGTTTCAATGTTTCTCCGAGTGCAGGTTGGATAGTGAAGATTCTGAGCGCCTTCAGTATGTGAAACATGATTTTGTAATAATGCTAGATTGTTTTTCAATGCAATTTCTTTGTAAAAAGTAAAGTGAAGGAGTTTCTAACATATATCAGAAGTAAAGACACAAACCTCCCTTTAATTCTTCTAATCTTTGACCAATCCCTGTTGTGGTAGCCTTAAAATCTGTTATGCAACAGACTTAAATGCTGTTTTAAGTGGAACCAGTTGCCTTTGCCCCTGGAAGATCAATTTAGTGAGGGGGATTTTTCTGGCAGATCACTTTTGTTTGTCCCAGTTTCCTTCACAAGGCACAGGGACATCAATATAGTGTTGGAAAGAATTTCTGCTGCCTTGTATTCCCTTGGATACAGTTCTGCAGATGTTGGGGAAGGACACTTTAAGGATTGGGGGTTGTTTGTTTTACTACGAATAGTATAAAGGGAATATTTAATAGATATTTTTTTTAAGATAAAGTTTCAGTGTCACTGAGTCCTGTAGGGTAACTTGGAAGGTAACTGGATTTTGTTAGCTTTAATACGACATGGTAGGTGGTTATACCTTTCACTGAAATCATCTCGATCCCATGTGCCCCCCTCTTTTATTATTATTAATTTATTTGATTAAAAAAAAGGAAGTTTTTAATTATTTCACCTTCCCCTCTTTTTTTTTCTTTCTCTCCAAACCTTCTAAAATTTAAACTGAATCAGGGAATTGACTTTATTTGGTGCATTGGCATAAGCAGGAGTGCAATCTGGATGCTGTTATGGACCTCCTGAGTCCATTATTGCAGCTAAGGAAAGATTATGCAGGATTCTGTCCCAGTCTACAGATTTGATACTGAAGTTACTTGGTTTTACACCAGTATGAGTACATATTTTCAGCAAAAAGACTCCTCTTTCATTAAGGTAAATTTGATACCAGAGCAATTCATGATCTAGAGCAAAGCAGAGGAATTGGTAGCAGAAGTAAGGGTACTTGGATTCTCGAGCATGTCTAGAAAGACAGGTTCGGATAGGCAGACGCCACTCTTGTGCTCTTCTGAGTTGGTCATAGTAATGCCTGGTGAGAGGCTGGTAGCAGCGCTTAGGGTTTGGCTTCACATTAGATGTACTCCAGTCGAACTGCAGGCTGCTGCTCAAGAAATTGCCATGCTACCATCTTCCTATGTCTCCTATGTTTTCCGATGTTTTTCCTATGTTCCTGTGTTTCAAGTGTTCCTATGACCAGAACCCTGGGCAGTGGTTTCCATTGCCTAACAATTGTTGGTAGTGGCTGAAAAAAAAGTCTTTCATCTTGGGATATTGTAAATGCAGGCTCAGAGAGATCTGTTTCAAAAGTATACACGTGAAAAGGTGATTTCTATGCTAATATTTTATGGAATATATAGACTGTTATTTCCCATTTCTAACTACAGTGTCAGGATTTTTTTCTTCCACTGGCAGAAAGGTGGGGTGACTTTGCTCTCACTGCTTTTGTACCACTCTACTGTGTTGCCAGACTGCGGGAAGGACCAAGGCAGAGAATCTGCCAACTGTGGTCAGAGCAGCAGAGATGACTACCAGGCTAGGACTACCTGGGAAGATCTAAACAAGTCTTAGCCCCTATTATCCCCTGACGGCACCTGGTAATTAGACGGTCTGGGGGAACTGCATGATACATAATCACCTGGGATGTACAGGCAGGCAGATTAGGTGATCCAGTAGTTACCAGACAGTAAAAGCTATGAAACCACCTTAACTCTTACAGTTGTTAAGGAAAGTCTGAATAATTAAAATCTCTTCATATTTTAGTCTTAGGAGAAAGGAAGGTATTTCCTCTTGTTACATGAGTTGTGTGAATCAATATTTCACATTACTAAGTACAGATATACTAGTACCTCTGCTATTTGCAGTCTACAGAGCCAGCATTGACAAAAGCAGTACTTACACACATTGTAGAAATGGGACAAAGCACCAAATTGTCAGTAGTTCAGAGCCTCAAAACAAAGCAATTTTTAAGCATTTCCGTCACACTGTAATAGTGCACATTAGATCCTCAGATCATGCAGTATTCTGAAAACACAGCTGTCTTAGTCGTCCTCAAGCCTGGCATATTTCTTTTTTCTACAGCACTCTTAGCCAAAATGTGGTCATTAGGTGAACATAAAGTAATGTAGCACCTGTCACCACATTAGGAAGTCATTTCACTTCATAAGATGACACATGATCTTTGCAATGACCGCCTTATTGGACTGTTCCACTTCCTTGTTAGCTTCGCTTTCCATGTAATGCTGCATCCTTTCTTGAGGGGATGGTCTTCCCCATAAGGACTACGAGACAGAGTGCTCTCAGTCCCTCTTTCATGTAAAATGAAAACAGCCTCAGAAGGATTTCAGGTCCATTCACAATACTGGCCTTTCTTCAAGAATGCATGTGTATTTTGTTTTTGTTTTTTTTTGCTCTGAAATTTTGACATATTGAACTCAGACTCCTGTTTATGCTGAATACCCAGATGAAACGGTACTGCAAATATGGAGGTGCATGGATATCTATGCTCTATTTGGAGATCTGCAAGGACAGGCACCCAAAATTAGATACTGCATTTCAGAATTTCAGACCAGACTACTTTTCCAGGAAAAAAATATGAGACATGGAATGATTCCTGTTTTTTTTTTTTGTTTGTTTTGTTTTGTTTTTTTGCAAGCTTATAAGTAGATCAACACAATCTACAGATAGTCAGCTCAATATTCAATGTTGCTGACATTAATGGCTGAACAGTTCTAACTATTGACAAGCTCCCATCCAAATTACTGCTAATTACATACAGGATTGGCAGCTCCACCAACATGGAGTGAAATGCTGGCACTATTGAAGGATCAGTAAGAGTGTTGCCTAATTTCACCTGTTTCTTTTTTTTTTGGCAGGGGGGTGAGGGTAGGGGAGCAGTTTGGTTTTGTTCTTGTACACTGCAGAAAGTGCCTGCCCTTAACACTGTAAGAATTTGTGTCCATGTATGTTATAGGTGCATTGTATAGAGTTGTGTTAGCTGTGCATTGTGTTTTAGTTCTGGGTATCGGCAATAACTCTTCAGTAGTATCTCATACTAAGTGTATCAATAAAAGTTCTGGAGCTTATGATTTTGCATGGTTTATATGATTAATATTTGGTGTACTTTCTTCAAGTGAATCCTGGCTGCTACAGAATTTAATCATGCAGAGTAATCTCTTAAAGGATAAGAAAGTTTCAAAACAACATTTATTCTTTTAAGATTACAAGATTTGACTACAGTGATATAGATTTAGCTTAGTGGCAGTAAGTCAAACTGTGTGTCTATGTATGTAAACCTTTCCTGTGGGGATAACAGTATAAAAAAGTGAACAATATTATTTTTGATTATCACAATACTAATATTATTTTAAATATGATCTTTGTTCTTCTGTGTGATGTTTTATAAAATAAGTCTGTTCACTGGATTTGCAAAACAATTCATCACTGCTTTTGGGACTAAACTGAGTAACTATATAAAAAAAAACCCCAACTTTGTTCGAGATGAGGTGTTCTGAAAACCAGCTCCTTAATGAAATATCTAACTGAGAGAGATCCCAGGAAAATAAGTGGAGCCTAGATAATTCACAGCAGTGTGTTTTCTTCTAATTTAATTTTAGTTGGCAGAAAAGAGTGACAACTTCTGAATGTCCTAATCTTCTCAAGATGGTTTATTTTCTCTCTTTTAAATAGAAAAGAAAGGAAAATTAAAGCTCCCTTTGTTCACCTTGAAGCATTGAACTGCAGTATGGATTTTTAGAAGTTGCAGTGTATCTTAAGGCAGACTTGCCTGGCTGTGGCTTTCTAACATCCAGCTCTCTTAGGTGCATCTGTAATCTAAATGCTTAAACATCTTCAAAGTAAAGCTGTTGTCACTCTTGTTTATGGGCTACAAGCAACACCATGCTGATGCAGTTTTTAAAAAGAGGCATGTTTTGTGCATTTTGATAGTAAACAATGTCTTGGCTGGCTCCTTTTGTAACCTCTGACCCCATACTAAGCAGAGTGAGTCAGTGTATTTATAACTGTAGGAAGATCATCCTTTGGAATTTGGTAGGAGAAGTAAATAAAACCTCCTGGCCAAGATGCTTTAAAACACCTTCTGAAAAGAAGGTTGAAAAGACTGGTCCTTCTACTCTTTAAGAAGGTTCCCCGTCCACTTCTAAACTTTGCGTCCTTATGTTTGACAGTCATATCTAGATGATCATGCTACTTTTCATTACCTACCATAGAATAAACTGACATGCAAAAATCTGACCTCAAGTTGAGAAATAGTATGCAAGCTGGCATAGTAAAATATACAATCCAAGCTGAACTTTACAGGCAGTTCAGAATATTTCAGTGTCTTGCCATAACTCCTTTATGTGTTTTATTGTGATACATCTTTTTAAGAAAGGTGTCTGAAAAGCAGCAGGTCCTCATCTTGAATAAGTATGTAAGTCAGGCTGATGGGACTTTACCACAGGTTGATGGTTTCTGCAAATTATGCTGTAATCTTGAAAAGCCTAGGTACCAAAACTGATCTGAAAATGTAGGGTCTAACCTTAAATTCAAAGCAGTAATTTCCTCTCACTTCAGTAGTGTGGGGGTGGAGCCCAAATTCTACATAGTACACGTGCCTTTCATTGAAAACAGTTCAAGGTAGATGCTTGAATATCCAGAAGAATCAGTTGCAGCCCACAACTGTGCACTCTATGAGAAAATTGTGCTTAGACTGTCTTACCATAGTCTGATACTAGTTAATAAAATTTCAATAGGACTTCAGACCAAAGGAGACAGGAGCTCTACTTGAAATAATGAGAGTTCTAATATCTCAAATAATTGACATTATTTAAATATCCTGTGCATCCTGCAACATCTAGCAGGAGTAAATATGCTAAAATCTCCACAATGCTTGGAAGTCATCTTTTGTTGTTCTTAAGTTCGGATGAGCAAACAATAGCAAACAAGTGGTGGGAAACTGTTTCTGTTGGTTTGAATTGATTATATATTTTCTGTATTTTACATAAGATGTATTTTTCCAGCCTAGAAACACTTTTTTTAATCATGTACAGTGAAATTGTGTAAAAAATACACAAAATCAAACCACCATATTTTCCAATTTTTCCTTCATATGAAAAGCACATGGAGCAACAGGTTATTGCATATATACACACTCCCCTTCCCTTTCCCTGTTTATACTTACCTGCAACACACAATCTTCTTCAGTATCTACCTTCAGTCTTTCTGTCTGCCTGCCTTTAAAAAAAAACTGTTTAGATTAAGAGGGTTGCTGTCATTCTGTATTATAATCACTAGCATGAGGAAGATCTGTTCTTACCTGGAGTCTCGGGATACTCCCCTAACTCTTAGTGCTGTTTACAGTTTTGCTACTGTGTCCATTGTCTGTTCTGACAGAGCGTAGACCTGGATGACCATCACAAACCCGAGTTTAGAAGAGTTTTTAGTTCTTCCATCATTGAAAATGGGCATCAGTCTTCAGCAGGTAGGAATGGCAAATGAGTGAAGTAACACTACTACTCGAGGAATACCAGATCCTGGCAGGCACAGAACCGTTGGATGTTGCAAGTGTTAGAATTTGATATGGTTTTAGCATGAATACTGAACTGTTTAATTTTGTTTCCTGGTTATGATTTTCTAAACTTCACTGTTAAGCATGCACTGTAGTATTTAATTAATTAGAGCCTATTATTGTTACATGATGTCAGGGTATTATTCTGGGTGCCATTGTAGCCTTACATCTCAAAGTATTTTGCAAATTACTTACGTAATTTCATTCTTCACTGGGGGAAGTACTTAATTTTTAGAGAGTTTTAGAGAAAACTGAGGCACACATCATTTCCCAGGACCAAGGAAAGAACAAGTTTGTTGACTCCTAATCCATAATAGGGAAATTTGGGGAATGTGTATGTGGGAGGGAGTGTTAAACAGATGCAGCTGCCAGTGGATTAATCATCTGAATAAGATACACTAGCTGAGATTTAAGTAGGACAGGTATATAACACTTTAAGAGTTGTACAACCAGGATTGTATTTCAGTTTCTGCAGTGTGCTGTAAGTGGTATATAATGTCCTAGAGGAGGAATTAGGTAGAGTAATTGCAGCATCTTGTAAAAATGTTGTGCATGAAAATTATTTTGTAACTCTGAAAATAAATTTACTTCCTCTCTCCTTTTCTTTTTGTTCAATAGATCAGGCAAAAATGCCCCATGAACTGACCTCTTTTCACATGGCAGGCTCTTCTCCTGAAGCTCATGCTCCTGCAGTTGCTTTACAAATGCCCCACCTTCCTGTTACTGCA